TCCACCTTTTCGATCCATTCAACCACAGACTGTCCACTAGTATCACCACTGAATTCGGGGATCAGTTTTATATCGAACGGTCTTTCCGCCATCTTGCGAGAGACAAAGTAAATGCCGAAATAACTTGAAGAGTAAGCGTTCTCAAAGCAAATTTGTGGCTTTCACAACACAAAGAAAGAAAATCACTTGTAACGCGTCAAGAAAATAACTCACGAACGCCGTAGCCAAAAATGCCCGAATTTTCCTTCCCGAGTCGAAAAAACACCAACTGCTTTTATCGGCAGAACCTATTTTTTCCATTCATCGACAGCCGGGATAGGATGTCGTAATTTGCATATTAATATACTCTTATAGCGACTCCTGCGACGGACTTGTTTCTTTTTTCGCCACAAAATACACGCGACGCGCTGTCGCTTGGGTTGACGAGGTAAGTCGCTATAAGAGTTTTGCTGACTACTTTTTGGCAATCCCTCCCCGGCAGATCGCACACAAAACACAAACTTTTTTCCGGGGTACTTGATTATCTCGTTCACTACAATTATCTACATAGAGAAATTTTCCATGTCAACCCCATGTGTTCTGTTGTCTAAAACTGATACAGAATCCAGATGGCTGTCTACACCTTTTGGGGTTACATCAGGAGTCACTATCTAAGATAATTCTTATCTCCAAATTATGATTTTAAATCCTACCCAATTCTCTATTCTTTATCTTCACAGTCTGGATTTTTCTGCCATCAACCAAGTGTCAAACATTTTTGTCATATGGCCTGTCATAGTTGAACGTTGTTTTCTCTGCTAGCCATCTGGTTCTCAGCCCCTTCTGAGAATTAAAATCTTCAGTCTTTCCCACAGGGATTTATTAGTATGTCGTTTTGGCTATTCATTAACCCTTGTCTATTGTTTACCAGTAACAAATACTGTCACAGTACAGTGAGGCAAGGTGATAGTGAACAGATGATCCAGCACATAGGTCAAGAAGAGAGGTGCGATCACCTTATTGGGCATGTGACTATGGGTGTGAGTATGATCTTGTTGAGATCAAGTGGGCATGTGATAAAAAGATGAGAGAAAAGAAGTGAAAACTTATTGGCACCGGAAGCAAAAAGCTAGAAGAGTGGAAGTAACATATATAGTGAAGCACCAATGCATTATGGGTGAGTGGTGGTTGCATAAAAGCTGGAAAGAATGATGGGCGAGGAGCTTTTTTCTTTGCAAATGGGTGTTGGTGTGTAAATGGACAGAAAAGGAAAAAAATTACCATAAAAGTATTCTGGAGTAAATAAGTCACCCCTGGTAGCACAAATAAACTAGGCAAGATGCCTTAAATAAAAAAAAAAACTCAAAGTGAGTCAGGAGAAGTCTGTTGGCGTCAATTGAGTAGAAAGAATTGATGACATGGTGAGTAACTTAAGCAAGACATAATATCATAACCGCTAGTAGTGAGTTATAACAATGGTGACAAGTGATCGAAACTCATACAGCGTAGGAAAAAGTACTTTTTGCTTCGGCACACATGATAACAGTGACAACAAAAAATTATGGCAACATTGGTTTACTTTTTTCTTTGGTGTGAGTAAACAAAAAAACCCCCCAAAAAACAGATATTCTTTAAATATGGAAGAATTATTAGCCCAGTGGTAAAAATACAGCAACAGTTGCTGAAACTACAGAAACAACAAAATTTAATTGAAATAAAACAGAAACAGAAAATTCCCCAAGTTCATTTAATTCTAACATGGTGGCAAAATCCATAACTGAATTTACATACAATTCAGATGATGGAATTACCTTTTCTGCTTACTTTAGAAGACACAAGCAAATTTTTAAAGAATGCAGTAACTGGGAAGATGAGAAAAAAACAAGACTTTTCTTGAGAAAATTAGCACCGATAGAACATGAAAAATACTGTAATTTTGTACTACTAAAAAAAAAAAAAAAAAAAAACCAGGAGAAATTTGTCTTGCAGAAACAGTAAATATTCTGATTAAGATTTTTTTTGAGAAAAGTTTGTTATTCAATACTCATAGGAAGTGTATGACTCTGAATAGAGAAAACAAAGATTTCGTCACATATACTGGAACCGTTAACAAGGAGTATGAAAGATTCAAATTAAACGAACTGACTCCGGATATGTTTAAAAGTTAATGGTGAAAAATCATAGAAATACATGCTAGAATTCTAATGAAACTTGAGCAGCATCAACAACTAACACAAGAAATACCAGACAAATCCTAAATTTGAGATGTGATGCAGAAACAATTGAAGAAAAAGAATGTGCATACATACAAGCTAAAGAGAAATGTGGAAAAAGAAAAATTAATCAATGTTTCAGATGTGGAAGGTTTCATCTCAGAGACGACTGACCCTTTAAGAATTCAAAGTGCTACAAACAAACCAAAGAAAATTTGTGTATGTGAAAATGAATAATGTGTATGTAAAAATGCAACTAGACACTGGTAATGACATCACAATAATCAATGAAGCCACAAGGAAAGCAAACAGAAAATTGTAAGCAATCTGGGATTGAAAAAGAAATATTTGTCGCAGATTACTTCCACAATGCAGAGAATAAATCATTGTAAATTCAGATTCGAACATCGGGAGCAGAAAGAAATGCCGAAAACTCGATTTGCAGGTACTATCTCACAAATCACAATGCACGTAACCAGTCAGAAAAATAACTCACTCTCCAACAAACGCAGTAGCCAAAAATGAATTTTACACCAACTGCTTTTATCGGCCAAGCATTTTTTCCATTCGTCGACAACTGGGAGAGGACGCCCAATTTTAGCATATGAAAATACTTTTATGATGACTCCTGCAACTGACTTGTTTCTAATTTAAATATTACATCTTCAGCATGTCATGCAGAATACGTGCCCTTTTTTTTGGTAAGTAATTTTCTTTTTCAACACATTTTCCGTTGTAGGATGCATGTGACACACTATCACTTGGTTTGACAAGGTAATCCACTGTTTTCTCTGCTATAAAAACCTATATTAAAAAGAACTTTGAAAATTGCACATGGCATGTCAGGTAAGAAATTATTTTTTATTGGAGAAATGTCTTGTAACATTACATTCTGTAACAAATGTGTAAAAGCTAAGGCTTGTGTGTTAAAAAATACTACAAATTTATTTGGTACTGACTGGAATAAATTATTTGAGTTGTGAGATTTACCTATAAATATTTATTGCAAAATTGTAAGCAGACAAGCTACCAGTTCATAAAAACAGTGTGAAAATTTAAAGGAAGAATTGAAAAAATGTTTTCCAGATGTTCTGTTGGATGAGTTGGGTTGGTATTACAAAGTCAAAGTGAAATTTCAAGTGAAAAAAGGGTTGATGCCAGTGTTTAAACCAAAACCTTGTGTACTGTTTGCAGTATTGGATCAGATCAACGAAGAATTAGACAGATTAGAAAAAAATAGGTGTAATTGAAAAGATTGACCATTCAAAATGGGCAGCACCAGCAGTGTATGTAAAGGAAAAAAATAATAAAATTTGTGTTTGTGTTACTTTCTCGACAGGGTTAAACAAATGTTTAGAATCTCATAAATACACATTACCAAGTCTAGAGGAAATTTTTGCGAATTTAAACGGTGTAAAAATTTCTTTGAAGCTGAATCTTTCTGAAGCATATTTACAAATACAGATTGAAGAAGAATGTTTAGAGTTAACAACTATAAATATGCACAATGGATTGTTTAAGTTCAACCCGACTTCCTTTTGGAACAAAATTGACTCCAGCTATATTTCAACAAGCTATTGATACTATACTTGCAGATTATGATCTTGCAGTTGCTCATCTAGATGATATATTAATTAAAAGTGTATCTAAGGAACAATATATCAGTCATGAAAAGTGTTTTTGAATATGAGAATGCGGGTTCAATCTCAGTGAGGAAAAGTGTGAATTGTTTTTGCCTAAAATCCAGTACCTAGGACAAATCACTAACAAAAATGTTTGTCAACCAGATCTGTCAAGGGCAAATGTAATTAAGATTATGCCTTCTCCAACAAACTTTACTAGGTTTCAAGCATTTCTAGGACTAGCAAACTGTTATTTCATCTATATACTTAATATGCAGAATTTGAGAGCTCCACTAAAGAATTTGTTTAAAAAAAGGCATAGAGTGGAAGTGAACTGACAATTGTCAGAAGGCATTTGAAGAAATCAAGAAAATGCTAATGTCAGGCTTATCATTAGCACACCACGATCCAAAGGCAGAAATCATATTAGCTTCAGATGCTAGTGACTATGGTATAGGGGCAGTAATTCTACATAAATATGATGATGGTAACATGAAAGCCATTGCACGTTTTGTTTGCTATAATATTTATAGTAAAATAATTTCACAATTTATATAGGGAAGGAATTTACATTTATAGACAGACTACTGACTTCTTTTAACTTATGGTTCGAAAAAAAGGAATTCCTATGCATACAGTGAATAGATTATAATGCTGGAGTACATCTTATTAAATTAGGGTTTCAGGATGGAATTCCAACTGTTCAAAAAATTAGGACATGCTAATGGTTTATCAAGATTGATACAAAAGAGTACTGAACCATTTGATGACACTGTTATTGCAGCATTAAAAAGTGAAATAGAAATTAAAAATATTTTATGCAATGTAGTATGCAAACTATCAATTTGCCTGGAAGAAATAAAAATAAAAGCAGAACAAGACATGTTTACTTCAAAAAACAAAAAATGACTAAAAGTAAGAAAGATAAATGATTTTTAGAATGCAATCCAGACTTGAATGCTTACTTGCTATGTGACAAAATACTGATGTTTGATATTCAGTGTTGTCTGTTGATTACAGACACTAGAGAAGTTTAGGGTTGATAACAGCATACCTCTGCAAATTGAAGAAAACTTTCTGAAATGTTAGCAAATAGCAAAAACCAGAGCAATTTTGGAAGTACATTGGCTGAAATACTATAACAAAAATGAAGTGGTCTGAATAAAACAAAGTATGATGCACTGACCCATTTTTGTGAGGCAGACATTCTTCTAATTCCCGAAATATTTCTTTTCTGTCTTTGAGTTTCTGCTGTAATTCCTTCATGTCTGACTTGTCTTCAGGATTCAAATCTTTTTCTTTAATATTCCTGAAAACAGAAACAAATAGAATTGGTTAGACTGTAAACTGCAAAATTAAATTATTCTTATACTATGCAATATTTGAGTGAAGCCCTTTGTTTTGTTTTTTTAAAACAAACTCACATCTACAAGACATTAATAGTGGGGTTGAATAAATGATTGTACACATGAAAATATTTCATATTTTTATTTGTAACATATTAAATTAACAAAACGGGAATATATCTACTATATCAGATTGCATACTAAAAATGTATGAATATAAAACTAAATAATAATCCATGGTTAAGAAAATATAGCAATATTTAATTTCTTAGGAGTCTAAAAAATGATCATACAGCAGAACAAAAACATGTTTTCTCCATTTAATATTTTGTAGCAAAGCCTTTATTAAGTTCAACAGCAACCAATCTCTTCTTGTAGTCTTTAACGATTCGCATACTTTAGTAGGTATTTTGTCCCATTCTTACTGAGTAATTGTCTTCAGGTTTTTGATGTTTGTTGGACCTCTATCACGGATCTTATTTTTCAAAAACCGCCATAAATTCTCTGTTGGATTCAAATCCGGTGACTGACTGGGTCATTGTAAGATCTTAATGTTGTTATTAGCAAGCCAATTCTTCATACTCTTAGCAGTATGCTTGGGATCATTGTCCTGCTGGAAGATCCGATCAGGAGGAAGCCCAAGATTCTCTACAGAAAGCGATGAATTTTTGCTTAGGATTTGTTGATATTTTTCTGCATTCATTCTGTCTATAATTGCTAGTTTGCCAACACCTCGAATTGAAAAGCAGCCCAAAACCATGATACTACCCCAACCAAATTTGACAGTTGGTATGATGTTCTTGGGTGTGTATGCTTTGCCATCTTTCCTCCATACATGATTCAGGGAATTGCGACCAAACAATTCAATTTTACTCTCATCTGTCCAAAGAACTCTTTCCCAATAAGAATTTTCCTTATCTTTATGCTCTGTCGCAAATTTCAACCTGGCATCTCTATGCCGTTTCAGAAGGAGTGGTGTTTTTTTTGGGGAGCGTGACTTTATACCATCTCCGCATAGTTCATTACTAATCGTTTGTTTAGTTACGTTAACTCCTGACAAACTCAGATCATTCTGAAGGTCTTGTCTGATGGCCATTGGATTATTTTGGACCTGTCGCATCAACTTTCTTTGTAATCTGGGAGAGATCTTCCTGGGAGCATCCGGTCTGCCTTTGTTCTCAATAGTATTATGTCTTTTAAATCTTGCAATAAATGAACCAATTGTTGAAAAAGGTATGTTCGTGTCACTGGAGATGTTTCTGTAACTTTTTCCATTGTTCTATAGCTTAATAATTATCTCTTTTTGAGCATGTCATTTCCTTACGTCTAGCCATTATTAGAACCGTTATCAGTGAACAGTGACTGTAGAATGATCCAATTTTGAGCTGAATGTTGCAATAGAGTTACTGAGAATATTCTAGAACAGTTTAGAATCTTCTACTTTGAAGTACAACCAAAATCTACCGTATTATAATGCAAAAATTGATACTGTATGAACACTTTTTCCACTATTCGAAATATAAAAATTTGCATAACTATCACTTATCGATGAATTTCTAATTTTAAATTGCAGATTCTGATTCTATGCCCCTAAATACATATATAACATCGTTATTCAAGGTTTTCATTTGCTATAAATGAGAATCACAAGCATTTGTTTGCTGTACAATCACTTATTCAACCCCACTGTACATGACAGTGATATTTTGTAATATCAGATTTTCTAATCTTCTGAATTACTTAGATGAAGCATTGTCATTAATTTTTGGGAAAGATTTTTTTCTTTTTTTTTTTCTTTCTTTCTTTCTTCCAATGGTCATTTACAAATTTTAAAGAAGCAGTGTAAATCAGAAAAAAAAAATAAAAATCCCATAAGATTTGACTTTGTATCTTGTCCTTGGGAGCCATGTCAAGTAGAGAAATTTTTAACAATCTCTCATATGTATCTTTAAAAACAAACATTCTTTGAAAACAATATCACAAGTTTTCACAGAAAAATTTTGAGAGTTGACAAATATTTGTGAGGAAGTCAAAAAAGGTTAAGCCTTATAATTTTGCAAAAACAGCCATTCAAAATTCATTTGAAATAGAATATTCAGTTAGGAACATTTATAAAATAAACTTCAGATGACTATCTTTATAAAAAGCATACAACGAATATCTAATAGAAAAAGAAACATTTTTATGTACTACTTGTGGGTGTTGAGGTTTCACTAACTAGTCTTTTAACTTTCCAATATTTTGACATACCTAACCATGTCCACCTAAAGATTATCAAATTTACTCAAAGCTAAATTTATACTTAATTTTATAAAGAATCAAATCATTGTAAAATTATTGTGAACAATCATTCATAATTAATCTTAATCAAAGAAATAGAAATAAAACTGATTAAAATACTTTGGTTATGTTATTTATGTAAACGTCACAAGCATACAAATTTTCAATAAAAGCAGAAGACAATGAGGTTACTATGAGGTCAGATAGAATATACAAGCTTTCTAAAAATCATTTAAAAGCAAATTAATCATGTAACATCTCACATTTTCTATTTTATGTCAGGTTTGATAATTTGATAAATAACTACTAAATGTTTCAGAGAGTCTACAAAATATTTTTACTTCCAACAAATTGTTTTCTATTGCTATGTACATATTTATTTACAAAACTGACATTGCCTGATGCTGAGACATACAGGTTTTCAAGATACAATGAAATGTTAGTTCCTAGCATTTGTGTTATCAACTAATTAGAATTTAGTGCTATTTCAAAATCAGCATAGACATATAGTAGTGTACAATACAACTGGTTTTGTGATGACTTAGGGAACATTCTGAAGAGGGAGGTTTATGTTGGTGGATGGCAATTTATCTGCAAAGATGAACTTTGAAATGCTATTCTGGATGCAATGAAGTCTCATGATTTTTCATATAAAACAAGACTTCACACAATCCATGGATGAAGGACTTCTAAAAATTAGTTTCAGAACAAGGAGTATATACTTCACATTAATGTTGTCTTTATAATGTTTTTGTTCAAAACATTTGTATTAGGTTGGCCAAAAAGCTTGTTTGCTTATTAAGTAGAAAATTTACTTAATAAACAAAACAACAAATATTTTGGTCGATCTAATATTTGTAAAAACTGTGCATTTTAAGGAGTTATAATTTACAATTACAGCAGTTTCAACAACCTGACTAATACTGTGAGACCTGGAAAACCCATCAAAATTCATCAAACTATCGTTATATCATAAAAGTGAAATGTAGTTTACTATAATTTATACATAATTATCTACATACGTGTGAAAGCACGTGCTATATTCTGCCTTTATCAGCGACCAAGCAGTTTTGGTGGCTAAGGCAGTACTGCCACTCCTGGTGCCACCAGCAGCTTTTGCCACAAGACAGGGTACTGTTTTTGCATATGTGTCTGTCTCTTGCAATTTCTTTTTACAACTGAAACTCTCAATCTTGTGTTAAAATATACAACGTACTCATAGCAACTGTTATTAATGACGTAGAATGGAAGGTAAACAGATATGTTTAGGGCGAAAGTAGCATTTTGCTGTCAGCATGGTTTTATTTAACTTTATTTATTTTGGATCTTAGCCAGATATAACATGATACCTGTTGAGCTGTGGTCTGGAGATGATGTGAAGCATGCATTAGGTTCCAGCCGGTGATGCCCACCTTCAAAAGAAGGAAATTATTGACCCTCCAAGGAATCCATGGCACCCATCCTCAATAGGTAGCACATGACATGTCCATCCCTTTTCCACACAGTCAGGTTGCAACAATTCGTAGCAGTATTTTTGTTGCTTATGCACCTCTTCCCAGTTCCCATGGAATCATTAATTCTACTAGGAGGACACACTTCTTTGAATCAGATCACAATACAATGTCAGGGTGTGCGTCTGTCTGAACATAAAATTTCATATGTAAAATATTGTACCTTAACAGTGCAAATGTTTCCATGCATCACTTTATTAGTTTTATAAACAATTAATAACAATTAGAAAGAGCAGGTAAATTTTAAAATGTTGCTGTGGTTATTTTTGTAAATAACAGAAGATCATATTTGAGGTAATTCTCACCGTTTTAATGTCTCTTGAATTTTCTTCATACGATATCTGTGATGTGCAATGTGTTTTAAACATTTTTGTTGCACTTCAATCATTTCAGCCAAACGTTTCTGATATGTACGATGATCCTCCTGAAAAAGAAAAAAAAAGTTTGTAAAGAATGAAATTAAAAGAAAAATTATAAGCACCTAACCTTCAAAATAAACATCAAAGAGTATTGAATATAATAATCAACATATCTAGATAAATTTGAAAAAGCTATTTTTAATATCTCATTAGTGTGCTAAGTACATTTATGTGATTTTCAATTATACAATTTGAGAAAGTGTGCATGTTATATATGAAGGATAATAGGCAAAGCAAAAACTTGTTTGATTGCAAATGCAGTAAAGAAAGACCAGACAGAAAATGGAGTGATGTGATAGAGAGATTTACTGGTAATCCAGTCAGAAAGCAGAACAGTTACAGGTGTTTGTCTATATCGCTGAGATGAGGTATTATGATTACTTGCATTATTTACATTAATTAGACTGTTATCCTCATCTTCATTGTCATATTCACAACGTTTCGGCTGTTATATGCTCTGGCCTTCTTCAAGTGATTGGAATTTTGAACCAGACCCTTTATTTCATCCACTGAAGTAGATTGTTCTAGTTTCATGTGCCATGCCTCTTCCAGATGTCTCAGTTATTTCTCTTTAACTCAACTCTCCAAATTTTGGTTTACCACTGCTGTGGCTTGGAATTGAACTCATAACTAGTCACTGGATCATGTGTCCTTGAATCTGTATGAATTTTTTTGACTTATAAACCGTTTTTTACCAGTGCTCATATTGCAATTTTTCGGTTATTATTGCAATTTTTACCAGAGCTTATATTGCAATTTTCTTTTGTTGTTGTTGCTTTTCTCTAGCACTCCTTGTTACTGGTTCCCATATTGTATTCATTTCTATGCTTGGTTGGTTCAGATTTGTGGCCTAGCAACTTGGATGTTTCAAATGTTATGCCACAAATAGGGTCCTAGGACCCTATTTGTAACATACTTGTTAACAACACAAATAGCATCATCTACATGCAAAAAAAGGTTAAAAATAATGGAAGCCTTATTAACGAAAAAACATTTAATAATATCAACTATAAACATGGATATAATATCTTGACTGTGTTTTGAAAATGGAAACATTACATAAATACATACAACAATATTCTTGTTAACAGTTAATATATTTCAACCTTGAAAATGGCTAAATGTATAACTGAAAACGCTTGGAAAGAAAGAACAATTGGACAGTTTTTATATAATTTATCATTGGAAAAGAAAAAAAATTATAAGATCACATGAGAAATTGTATGAAAAAGTAAATCAAAATACCTTGTCTGTAATATTCAATGAAATGTGCATATATATATATATGAGAGAGGGAGAGAGAAGTAACTGGTGAAAAAGTCTTAAATTGATAAAGAATGAATTAAAAAAAATTGTAATTATTGATCTTTTGGATAGTGTGTCAGTCTGAGGACTTTTCACCACACATAAGACACACAAACTTGAATGGGTAATGAAAGGGCAATAGCTTAGAACAGTGGTTCTTAACCATTTTTTTTTTAATTATACATTCCTTTTCATCAGGAAGTCTTAAAGAAAATGGAAACAGAAAAATACTCAAAATCAGAAAGAGAGAGTTGAAATTTCTTGGGCACATAAGGAGGAAGGAGGGCTTGAAGAATTTAACACTTACAGGATATAGCAAAGGCAAAAGAGATATAGGGAGACAGTTGGCCACCTCTACATGACAAGTTTGTGTAAACGGATGGTGGAATGGCATATGAATGATAAAAGAATAAACATTACTAAGAGCTACAGAGGATAGAAAGATGTGGAGAGCCATGATGACCCATGTCCTGAAGGAATGTGGCACAGATTTTCCTGCCTTCCTAGATTGTACCAATTCTTTCTTGAATCCCACTTAAAAAAAAATTAAAAATGCCTATGAGTTGGGGTCCTTTATAATTAAAAAAAATATGCTTTAGAAGAATGATTAGTCATGAAATAGTAAGAGTCATAGAGAAAATAAGTAATATTTTCAGTTTTAGATATGAAAAGAATTCACTGAGAACAGCTAAAATGATGTGCACCCTCTTACAATCAAAATACATAAGCTGGAATTGATGTATGGAGTTGGATTCAAAAAGGAAAAATATTTTATTTATTATTATTAACCAAACAGATCAGTTTGAAAAATTGCAAAACTAACTTGCTGATCTATATACACATATACAAAAGGTGCAAGTTTAGCCAACTCGAAATTTTACTAGTACTTAATCAAAATGGACTTGAATACAATTTTCGGACAAATTTTCACTCATACACAAATTTCAAATAAGTACTGTATTTCTGCAGAATATTAACCAAAGAAAGAATTTTGTATTATTGTTAATATAGTATTGTTGAAATCGCCTGATTGTTACGGATTTATTTTACCACTCTGATATACTGTCACTACACTGTATATTAGTTCATTTCCCTGCTGTTTGACATTTTGTGAGGTTGACTCACTCAAGGCATATCGGTTTGTGGCAAGATAAATTTATGGAGTCAGAGATTTTTATTCATATCAATATATCCATACACATAAAATAGCAAGAATTACATTTATGTTTAAGTTTAGGCATGCAAAGTAGTGTAATGGTAATCAATGCAAAAATTTGAACTGCTGAATCATGTTTAAGTGATTACCCTTGAAAAAGAATATGAATCCATTTCTTCTCCTTCCAGTATCAATTTAAATAACAGAGTAAACTGGACTTTCTGGTATTGAGTGGTAGCCAGTCTAAAAGGAGGACAATTGTGAATTCAAAGCATTGTTAAAAGTAACAGGAAACCACTCCATTATCCCTCCCAAAAAGTCCTAACAATTCATAAATAATAATGAAATAGAATCTGACGATTCATGATCATGTATTGTTCTGACATTAATAAATGTATAGAATTGAAAGTATGAGCATTATGTTAAATTTTCATGAAATTTCAATGAGATGAATTTATAAAAAGTTTAACTTGGTACTTAAGGCACCAATGATTAAAGATTAATGTGTTTTTCATTTTTATCAATAGAAAATCATACTTAACTTTTAGTGTGGCATGAGATTGTTAATTGACACTTAAATATTAAGAAAATCTTTTCTTTTTTTCTAACAAAATTCTATCAAGAAAACAAAGCATTTTCCTATGATTTGGTTATTTTAAAAGTCACTGGGTTTAATAACTGAGTCTGTTAAAATTCAAGATACCTGTTATTTTTTGCTTCTGTAGTCAGTCTCCATATTGAAAGGTCACTATGAGGTAATGAGTTCAAAGACTGTCAAAATTCACAGCACCTGCATAAGTTGCATTTGACCTACTTACAGCATCCTGGTTGCCTTCAGACTTAAACATCAAATGCCAGTTGTAATCAAATAGGAAATTGTTTTGGTTCATCCTCCTTGGATCTAAATGACTGGTCCAGCAATAAGAATGTAATAAATAAAAGCAGTGCTGAATTAGATATAGTGGTTGACCAATGAGAATATAACACAAGATGGTCTGTAATTACCAATCAGAAGACTTTTTGGTCTGTAAAGGCTAAAGCACTGAGTTCTACTAACGTGGACTGGAGACAAAAAGTCAAGAAGCATATTCTCCCCTCTGACACCAGATTCTTTCCAGACAGTAGAAGATATTGCAAAGAGCTGACTCATTGAAGAAAATCCCAGACTCTGAACCAACTACTCAAATTGCAATAATCACATGCTGACAAAACTTGTGTCTTTTCTCTCCCACTTGGCGATATTAACATTTTCTATTCTTTATGTATTGTTTCACAATCATGTTATAATAAATAATTTTGTTATTTATTAACAGAGAGTTGCTCGATTCTTTAAGTTGCTGACACTTCTGGCATCTTTTACCAACTACCCTGAGCATCAGAAGAAGTTCCAGTTGAATTGTGTCATCTGCCTTCTGTGGATCTTTCAAACACAACATGGGTGCAGAAGAGTTGACAGAACAACTAATTGGAAATGCATGTGGTAGTCTTGGAACTAAGAGGACAGCTAGTATTGTGACTAGCATAGGACCACATTAGCACCTTAAAAAAGAGAAGAAAAAAAAAAAAACCCCAAAAAACCAAAAAAAACCCAAACCTAACCAATATATAGAAGGGTGCATCAATAAATCTATTACTTGACACAGTTACAGTAGTCCACCACTATTAGGCGAACCAGTGTATCGCAGATGGGTGGTGGATCCCAAAATTTTGTTCTTGTACCCTCAATATTGCTGTTTTTTTTGGGGGGGTAGAAATTCCACCTTATTTTACCAATTTCTGGGCCATCTTCTTCATGATAGACAGAACAAACAGCAATCTTCAGATGGGTCCTAATTTGTTTAAAAAATTAGGCCCCCTTTTCACACATTTTTACCTTGATTTTGATTATCAAACAGCCAAATTTTGTGAAATTTTAACACCTCAGCCATTTTACACCAAATCCAATTGTATTGGTAATAATTACACATGATTACTTTATATTTCTATTTTGTGTGCGATGAAAGAGTTCCTATAATATCAGACTAATTAACGGGAATTCAATCACTGCAATCAGATACCATGGATGGTGCATGAATAGGAGTACTTTTCTCTGGTTGATCATGTTCAATTTGACTGTCCAGCAGTAGACATTAAGAATCTCTCATAAATAAAATATAAATAGCACGTAGTAATTAGGGGTTGTAATTGGGAATTGTAAGAGGAAGTACTATTGAGGACAGTTAAAATTTATTGTATAAAAAGTATGCTGTAAAACACTGAAATAAGTTGAAATTTTGGGTAATTTGATTTTTAAGCCCCACGCTAAGTATCTAATAAAAATTTCCTGAATAGTTATAATTACGTGTAAATCTACTTGCTTAATTAAAAAATAACAAAGAAATTTTGATAAAATCTACCTTTTTGGAGTTATTGACAATAAAAGTTTGGACTCATTTGCATTGTAGCAGTCATTACTGGCATTGTTTGCATACATTTGCTGTGGAAGAGACATTCCCTTATCTTGATTATTGCACATGCACTGATGCAAACAATACCAATAATGGT